TCTCTCTCTCTCTCTCTCTCTCTCTCTCTCTCTCTCTCTCTCTCTCTCTCTCTCTCTCTCTCTCTCTCTCTCTCTCTCTCTCTCTCTCTTACAGTAAAGCATTGTACAACCTGCCTTGGAAACTCCCTGTTGCTTCTTCCGTGTGCGTAAAGCATTGTGTGATTGTGTGATCCCACACAACACCTCTGGTTGCTTATGTTTGTGAAGCATTGTGCCAACTCTCTTTGATGTTCAGAGTCCCTTCTCCAACATGTGAAGACTGGTAATTGTGTCTATGCAAACCCTGCTTTCTTTTTCATGCTGTTCTAATGTGCTTGTTTTTTTTTTTTTTTTTTTTTTTTTTTTAAAAAAAAAAAAAACAAGGGGGGGGGTGGGGGTGGGGGGGGGGGGGGGGGGGGGCCCCCCCTGCCCGGGGGGGTTTTTTTTTTTTTTTTTTTTTTTTTTTTTTTTCAATATTTAAACAGGTCCTTATGGCCCTGGCTCCATATCCATTCTGGGGAGCATCAGTCTGGTTCCTATTCCACCGGCAAGTCAGATATATAACAACAAGGACACCCTTGCGCTTCCTTCCGTTTGGCCAAATGACCCCTTAGCAGCATATTGATCGCTCCCGATTATTCTACTTTGCACTGTTGCATGTAGTATCTAGTGGAAGTGGAAAAAGGGCAAAAGGAGGTGGTGATGACGAACTTTTGCTGTCTCGCTGTCTGTCTGTGTGGTTGATGCCTTCTTTTCGTCAGGACGTGATTTCGTTGTTGACGGACGAAGGAGTGCAGCGCGACAAAGTCCTAATGAATTTCTAGTCGTGCTCGCACATACGACCGGTACGCTAATCGGAAAGAAGTGTATACAGAGGTAGGTAGGTGATCAATGTCCAGACAATCAGAAATGTGGTATTTACTACGTTGAGCATTGTTGTTAGTTGTGTTCACAACTTCACAGACAAGCGCTTTTGTCTTGTGTCTCTCGAGTCTTGATGGGCATTGTCCTCTCTTGAAATATTGAATTTGAAAAGTCCTTAAACCACTAGTACCTTTGTCGGTTCGGAAAATAGTGGGCCGCCGACCATTCAGGAGGAGGCTGAAACGAGATGACGGCCGCCGATCAGATTTCTCATCGATGGCGGCAGCCGTTGTCGGGCCCGGTCTCCTAAAACTTTGGGACTAAAAGTAGGCTAATAAAATTTGCGGAAACAGCTAGCAGTACCGAGATGGATGGTGAAAAGGTACTATAATGGTTTAAGGCTTCCAAGGCTTAAACGAAGTTAAACCACAGCTACCTTTCAGGCTGTGGAAGGCGCAGTCTTAAATATGTATGTAACCTGTAAAAGAACCACATTCTTCCGAGGCCGGCGGAGGCCGGGCACTACCGGACCACAAAGGTTGGGGGCACCAACCAACCTAAAAAAAAAAAAAAAAAAAAAAAAAAAAAAAACTTTCAAAAGGCTGTGCTGGGGCTTTTTGCCCAAAGCTTGGGCACGCAGTTCTACTCCGCCTCGGCAAAAAGAGGTTATGAGGTAGTGGTGGTTTACGTCGTTGAAGAGGCGTGTAACCTATCCTGGCTTGATGGCTGCGGTGACGCAAAAATCAATTCCAGCAGGGGAGTGAGATGGATGGTGAAAGGGACATAAAACATTTGGGCGTCTCTCACCTTACCGTTATCATTCCGGATCTCATCACCGAAAAAATGCGTGTTTCGGGCCCGGAAAGTGTATCTCGGGCCCGCAATGCGTATTTTCATTCTTTCGGGCCCGAAAGGTGAAAGCTCTGCTTATGCATCAAACATTTCCATGTCTTTTCCACCATACACAACCAGAGGTTCATCGCAGTCAAGATACACAGGTTGAGTTGAAGAAATCTTGCCACAACTCGTCTTTTTTTTTTTTTTTTTTCAAAGACGACGGTCTGGAGGTTATCATCATCATCATCATCATCATCATCATCATCATAAGTCCATCTGGATTCGAACTTGGGTCTGTAACTCATCAGTTCATGGGTGTCTAGTACCGTCTACCGACCGAGCTTACCAGGCTCGTTGGCAATAATACAAGTCTGGCTGGAAAATCAACTGGATGTTGATTAGCCACTTCAGAGCACATATGGTATTGGTCTTCTTTTTCTTATTTGTGAAGACACGAAGATAATTGGGCTCTTTTTTTTTTTTTAATGTGTTCAGCAGTCCCAAAAATGTATGGTCATTCTGCGTTGAGATGAAAATGCATCTTCTCCTCGCTAAAAAAAAATAAAATTAAAGCAGTGAAACGCTGAAACCAGGAATTTGTTTTTTTTTGCAACAACGGCAATTGCCGTCCTTGGATGTTCAGACAATACAAGTTGACGACGGGACGACGGCAACTGAGACTTCACAATAAAAAAAAAAAGAAAAAGAAAAAAAGGAAAGAAAGAAAGAAAGAAAAAAGGAAAGAAAGAAAAAATGTCCTTCGGGACATCCATTAAAATTGGAACAATACAGAGAAGAAAAAAAAAAAAGAAAAAAAAAAGAAAGAAAGAAAGAAAGAAAAAAACAGAATCAATAAAGTATAAAGGGTTATTAATTAATATTAATTTAATTAATATTAATTTACTGTTGAATTATTAATTCCTCACGATGGTGTCATGGTAAGTAAATATGGTAAAGAAAATAAAGTTTTGTTCTGGGGGTAAAATGACAACCGCACGTGGGAAATGAGATCATATAAGGAAAACTTTTTTTTTTTTTTTTTTGGAGGTTACGTCTCTGTGTCCCGATGATGGCTGAACTGGGAATCCGTTCAGTCTGAGCTTCTTTTTTTTTTTTTTTTTTTTTTTTTTTTTTTTTTTTTCTTTGGAGGTGACGTTTCTGTGTCCCGGTGATGACCGATTTAGTAATCCGAGCTGCCTTTTCCCAACTTTCGAGGTCTGTCGCTGTTGCCCCCCACTTAACGGCGTAAGCGGGGTAGAGTGGGAGGAGGTGGCGGTGCACTCCCGAGCTGTGGGATCAAATGGAGGCAGTGCAGGAGGAAGTGAGGCAGATACGTCTGAGGGACATCGACATACCACTTCTGTCTGGTTATGGGGTCGTCTCCGTCATTTGGTTTGCACATCTTGTTGCACTGCGTCTCGACGTGGATGGTGATTTTCGGAAGTTTTATATGCGCAGTGCATCTGGATTACTACTACTTATAAGCCACAATTAACTGAAAAAAAAAAAAAAAAAAAAAAAAAGCCACAATTAACTTCTACTTTGAACTTTGTCTATTTTTTATAGAATTTGTATGTGGCATTTCTCGAGTATGTGCTTTCTCGAGTAGATCTGTATTGGTGTTGGGCCCTGTTGGCCTTCGATTTATGTTGCATTTCGTTCCTTGTATGTGGCCTTACGTTGTATTATTAAATTTTAATTTATTATTTTTGGTCCATCCGTATTTTGAGTGCATCTCGTTCGTCATACATCGGGCCAGACCGTATCAATCATGGATTCATGGGGTGATAGTGCAATCAGACTCGACTTCTTCACACTTGTCATGCATGCAAACAGCGAAACAGCAAACTGGCGACATGCGCCCACACAGTATTCAAGATATTGTAACCAGGTAGGAGTTCTCTTCAACTGGCTATGGCGACTGAGCGCCCACACCGTACTCAAGATATTGTAACCAGGGCCGGAAGGTGTGGAGTGGAGGCCATGTGGAAGGCGGGTGGGGTGGGCAGACAAACAGGAAGCTGATGCGCGGAACAAGGGATTTGAAGTCTTAACCCTAAACCTGGCAAAGGGAAGGGGAACACGCCAAAAGGGAAGGAGCACGGGGCAAAGAAACGACAAAGTGAAAAAACAATGAAACTGATCATACATTGTTTCGTCGGAGTTGTGCAAAGACTCATCAGGAGGCTGAAGCCTTGACAATCTGATGGTTTGGGTCATCTACTACGTCTACGGCATTCTGTTAAAGTTCTTCCGGTTCTGTGTAACGCTATGTCGTGACGTATCTGGACCAGATTCTGGCGTTGTCGGTATCGGCCATCAGATAAGCGATGCATTTATTTTCTCGGATCCTATTTACTATATGCCCCCCCCACCAAAAGTGAATGGAAACACGGGCATAGTCCCGGATATCACTAAGTACTAAGTAGCAAGTGTTTGTGCACCTGCATTGGTGGAATTTGAACAGGCAAAAAAAATGAAACTGGAGAAAACTCAGAAAACAGAAAAAGACCTGGAGTGGATCTCGCGCGCCAGCCAGAAAGGAAAATGCCGGTGCACGAGCCCAAACTGTGCTTTACTTTTTAGGGCAGCAGCATCGGCATTTTCCTCTCTTAGCAGTGGGCCCCTAGCTCCACTATTTAACCTGGACTGTGTCTGGATCACATACATGCGGACCGATCGATCCTTTTGAAATTTGAGTGGATTGCGGGCACTACCCGACCCCGATACATTCACAATGTTGTGCAATTGAGCTAGGCCCAGTGCCAAGAGAGAGAGAGAGAGAGAGAGAGAGAGAGAGAGAGAGAGAGAGAGAGAGAGCATGGTGGGCCCTGCTCCTCTTATTTAACGTTCGACATGGACTTGGACTCTTCCATATACATCCGGAGTCCGGACTGACTGATCGAGCCTTTTGAATGCATTTGGACAACAATGAGAACCATATACGTTCAGAATAGTGTGCTGTGGACCCAAGCTCCAGTGCCAAGAGAGAGAGAGAGAGAGAGAGAGAGAGAGAGAGAGAGAGAGAGAGAGCACTTCGCCTTTTTTTACGCAACCCGAGACTCTCTGCTCGGCATGGCCCAGAAAGAAACACGTAAAAAAAAATTGAAAAATACGCCGGTTCATGCAGCGGCGGAGGCCCTCCTCCTGGGCGCCTGCAGAGGACATGGTAGTGGCTGTGTCCAACTTGCAGTTGGAACGGACTTCCAACTCTTTTTTTTTTTCCCTTTTTATTTTAACTCTAATGAGGCTGATTCTGACTTCTGCTCTTGTGCTTCTTCAGCGTCCTCCGTGGTTTGCGGTGTGCATCGGGGTGCTTGTGCAGAACAGAACCACTACGGATTCCTTCACGGACCACCTTCACGGAGTAATATGCTATTCGCTGGATCGTAACCATGACGGGGATTCTTTCGTTTGTCGTATGGCGCTTTAATCGTCTGGCATGAATGAGGAAGTCCTCGGACAACAACGGTTTTTCCTTCCCGATCTCGCTCTGACGACGAAACGACTGTGTCTGTTCTAAGAAAAAGAAAGAAGTCCAGGAGTGATTTGATTACCTGCGCGCGTTAACCTCCTCCATCCAGTCGGCAAGCGGAATCAGAAAGGTTCTTTCAGGCATAATGCTTTTACTGTTTTGCTACGAAACATAACGGAGGATGTCACTCGGTGGCGGCGGCGAATCTGTCCATTCTTCTCAGAAAATGCTCTGCTTGGTCGGTGGCCAACGGATATAGCGAGGGCCATCAATCAACTCTCACTCTTATCACGAGTCTTGTGGCAATTGCCTAATAATTTTACTAAAAACGTTTAAACGACCAGTACAACCTCTTGTTGCACAGCCTATACCGCAGGTAAAATGATTGGTGGCGCCAGGCTGCCAGCTAAAACCAAAAAAGAAAACCTGTTTTTTTTTTTTTTGTTTGTTTTTTTTTTTTGGGGGGGGGGGGGGGGGGGGKGGGGGGKGTGTTAGACGCGCAGGGCATTACTAAGGGATCGGAAGGGAAAGGGTCATGCGTCATACGTTCTCGTGTTTTTTTTTGGATGCTGCGGTCTGGTGTTTTAGTTCCGCATCCTAAAACTGAATTTGAGTTTATCGAAGGCGCGAGTGATGTGTACAAAACAGAAAGAAGTTCGAAGAACCTGTTGAACGGAGAAACTTTCGCTGAAGTATCCTTGTTGTTTTGCTGGTTCAGAAGTATTTTCAAATTTACCCCTGACTGAGTGATGGGCCATTTCGCTATTCTCCTCTCTCTGTGCGTCGGAGAGGGCTATCGATTATTGCTTTTGAAGTGTGAACCACAGCCTGAGTTAGGGTCGTGACGGCAAGATTGCTTTTTTTTTTCTTTTTTTTTTTCCCGTTGGGTAATAAAAAAGAAAACAAAGGGTGGTGACGGTTAACATTACAGGCAAGGAGGCTAAGCTCACCAAAGGAGGGAGGGGCGAGTGATGCATTTATATTTTGCAGACTACTTCGCACGTGCCTCAATACTGAGTCAATAGATTATTAATCTGATTTATTCATTTCATTTCATTTGAGTAAAAGGTGTTTACTTAACTGTACTATTATTTAAAAGTATATATATATATATTTGTTTTAATTAACACAATTGCGATGAAGCGGCCTTGTTTATCAATGAAATGTTTTCAAATGTACCCATTTCTTCTATATTCTCCGTGCTTCGGAGTGGGGTATCGATTATTGGTATGGACAACAGCCTGGCTTAGGGCCACCACCATGGGTAAAACTAGTAGAGGCAAGGAGGCTCTAAGGGCCAGATCCCACCCGCAAAGAGTATTGGAACAAGTGTCTGAATCTGGACATGTTCCAGGACAACATGCAGAGAAGCAGATCAATTACAGTTTTTGCACCTCTCCACAAACACGACCAGATTCAGACACTTATTCCAATCGTTTTTGCCACTGGGATCTTGCCGTAAGTTCCCCAAAGGAGGGAGAGGATGGTTGGGTCAGCCTCACCGTTTCAACAGATCTTGTGTTACGTTTTTTTTTTTTTTTGTTATTATTACCAGTCGCGGAACGTATATTTGTTTGCTCTTGGGTCGTTGCTTCAGAGGACTGTCGGCGTTCCCATGGAGGTATGGGTATGCTTCCCCCCTGATTCTCTTAAGCGGGGGGGGTATGAATGCCAGGTTCAGGTGTGTTCATCTAATGGTGTGAATGCCGACTGGTGAGACTGCTGCGAACGCATTGCGACAAAATTTTTTACTGCCGCCGAAATGGCATTAGATATTTAGAATCTAGAATCAAGAAAAGAGGAAAGATACAGGGCGGTGCTTTGACTACTGGAGTACTGGAATTTGTTTGCACGATTTTTCCTATTAGAAACTTAAAAAAAAAAAAAAAAAAAAGGAACGACGACAAAAAAAATTGTGAATTAGCATTGTAAATTTGTCATCCTACACTGCACAACATTCCTAATGAATGTGCCCTGCATCTGGGTGACGATCAGAGTATCTGGACTATATGGGCAGCAGTCCAGATGCCTTCAGAAATCTCTCTCTCTCTCTCTCTCTCTCTCTCTCTCTCTCTCTCTCTCTCTCTCTCTCTCTCTCTCTCTC